TAGCTAGGGCTATTCCACTTAACCTCCAAAACAAAAATACAATTTTTAAATTACAAAACTCAAATAACATTGGTACTAATTTAAAAATAACAAAAAATTCCTATTATAGAACTTAAAATAATAACATCATGTAAACCTTATGTTTAATTATCCTTATACTGTATAAGTTATACACAAAACAAAAGTATTGAAAATTTTACAATTACAAGAACACTAACTCAATAGATTTATTGAGTAGAAAAAAATAGTGATTTAACTTTGACACGAAATTTATTTGCTTTTAACAATTTTAAATCTGAGCTTAATCCATTATAAATAGTTACGGCATTATAAGTGACAGATATACAGGATAGTTGTCCCAAATAGTAATATAAATTATAGTAAAGGGTATTATAATTATGGTAATCAGCATTATACTTTTCTCTCCGTATTATCTCAATAAAAAATATTAAATAGTTTCTTGACGCCAAAATTTGAAAAAAAATATATGAACGTTTGTACTGACTTTTTAATTTCCCGTAGTAGTGCATAACTATAAAGCGTTAAAAATTTTACGTACAGTGGCCATAAAACATTCTCTTTTTTTTTACTGTGAAAAACTGCTTTTATATCGATTGTTAATGTATTTTCCAGGGTTAAATCGTGATTTACACAGAAAAATTTAAGATTTTAACGCCGGTAGATTCCCAAGTTAGAAATTCTAACAGAAACTCCAATAAATACAACTGTCATTTTTTGTACCTTGTAAGAATTTTTATACTTTGTGATAATATTTTGCAATTATAGTACCTAATAAAAAAATCAAAAGATTATATATTTTCTTAACATAAAGTTATTTTAATATTTTAAAGTATCAATAACTGTAAAATAATAACGGGCAATGTTAATGGTGAAAATTTCGTCAAAAATGTTTATTGGGATGGTTACGTTATTTTCATATAGATGTTGCTTTATACAAATATTTAATTTAAATTATTTTTTAGATAATATTAAGTATTTGTCTTAGAAAAAGTATAGTATGCAACTCGCAATATACTATTATAAATGACAATACTACGTTTGCATGTATATCTACTTTTTAATAGAAACTGGACTGTTGTGCACTACTATGTCCTGTATAAGTAAATCAAAGGGGCTGTTTTAATAAAACTTGGGTCCTAAAAGGTCCATAGATGTTGCAGTTAGGATTTTGCTTTTCGCGCCCCAGGCAATAAAATAAAACAAAATACACTAAAAAGAACTAAAAGAAAACGAGGGAAAAGGAACAAAACAATTTCATGAATTACTTGGAGACTTCGCGTATTTATTGTGGTGGGGCGCAGTAAATAATGTTAGAATACGTCTACAAGACATAAATATCAGATTTTCACAGTATTTCTTGTTCTTAGTGTTGGCGTAATAATTTTAAAAGCACGAAGGTTTATTTCACTCGTGAAAACTACAAAAGTAATTTGATTTGGCTACAGATTAAACATACATTTAATTTTAATTAACAAGCGAGATTGCGAGCGAATGTTTAATTAAATGTGGGTCTAGAAAAGTTAATAAACGAGTTGCATTCTATACTTTTTCTACGACTAATACTTATTATTATCTAAAAATTATTTAAACTAAATATTTGTATAGAGCAACATCTATAAAACGAAGTTAGTAACTTGGGAATCTATATTTTCGTCAAAATATAAAATTTTTATGTGTAAATCGAAATCGAAAAATGAACTAACCACCAGTTAAATTGGATATACGAGATATCGTAGAAGCAGTTTTTCACATTGAAAGTGAATATAATGTTTTACTCCACGATGGAGTCTCCACTCGAAATTTTTAAAAGTTAATCAGTTAAATATAGTTTACTGACGGCGAAATCAAAAGGTCAGTACAAATTGCATTAAAACTTTTCAAATATTGGCGTTGAGAATTTTTTTAATACTTAACTGTATTTATCTCCAAGTGGTCTATAAAAAATTTTATGAGGCAAGTAATTAGTTCGATTTTTTCTCGCTAGGGGTATTGATTTGGCATATTAATCCTTTTCTAAGAAATTAACGTACTAAACTGGTTTAATTTATTTATAATAAGCACTAATTTGTTTGTTTTACTGTTAATGTTTAATATTTTTCATTAAATTATTGTAAAATTAAATATGAATAATAAAACAAAAAGTGAGGTTAGGCAACCAAGAAAACGCACGATTTTTTTCTACAATTTAAATTATCTTTAAGTTTTAATTTGTTTTAAGTTTTCAGTGAAATTAAATGTTATACACAGCTTAAACATTCCAAACTACCTATTTTTTAAATAAAAATCGAAACAAATTGAAATTAGATACCTACCTATTTATTAAACAATTAATTGAATTCAAGGTAATAGCAAAAATCCATTTCTACTTAAATCATGTTGCTAGGTATTGTCAAACTATTACTGCTTCAAAAAGCAATCATAATTATTGTACATTTAATGTAATCTTTAGCTAATAAATAAATGAGATTCTAAAAAAGTGAGGTTAGGCCGCTTTGATGTTGAATTAAATTGACCCATTTAAAGTGCTTTGAAGATATAATGTTGTATGCCATTCGGCCAAGAAGTGCCTTTTTGTGCTTCGCTCAATTGTAGGCCTCCGCTTCAAACCTTGAGCTTAGCACAAAAAGCCTTACTTCTTAACCTAATGACATAAATAACTATTTTGTATTGAGATAATTAAATAATTTTCTCATTTAGTAATATTTTACAAGAAAGGCACTTTATTTTAGCCAAAACTTGTCAATGTATTTAAAAGGTCTCTTAGTGTCAAACATGAGAGTAGAAAAAATAATGTTTTGTAAATTCGCAAAATACCAAAATTAAAATTAAAAATCGATAAAATCTCTTCGTAGCGTAATGTCATGTTATAATGTAGGTAAATGGTATATTTGCAGGTATAATGGGCGTGTCAAGATTTACGAAAAAGTATATTAAACAATTTTTTTGACAGTTATAATCTTTTTAATCGTTATAAAACCATTAACAGCACATATTAATATAAAGTTAACAAATTATTTAAAAAATTTAAAATATACACCTCTGGTATGTACTTTATCTCGATTTTTTTATTTTTAACATATATGTTATGGTTATGGTTATAACCTTGAAATCACGGTATTATTTATAAGACCGTGCTAGAAACAGATGTTAGATTCATTTGTAATTCTTGACACTTCTGTTATAACATCGTGACGACACGCGCTTTCTTTAGGCCATCGAAGCGTTTTGAAAATTGCCTTCTTAAAATTTGTTGAGAAACGGAGGAAATTTTTTTTAATAACATATAGATTACAAAATGCAATTTAAAAAATCCCCTATAATTACCATGGGACTGTAAAACTATTTTTTAAAATAAAACCAACAATAAATAATTTTATTTTTATGAAATAGTTATTTATGTCAGAGAAGTCTTTTTGTGTTGAGCTTTAAGTTTAAATGCCTAGCCTGTAAAAATTTCGTTTAAACCAATAAAAAAATCGACTACTGTCAGATCTAATCCTAACCTTACTTTATACTTATATTAATTATTATAATAATTATAATAATTAATATAAGTATAAAGTAAGGTTAGGATTAGATCTGACAGTAGTCGATTTTTTGTATTATTGTATAGTGTGTATAGTGTATTTATAATGTAAAATGATATAATATAAGCCTAGTTCCTGTATTATCTTAATAAACTGCAAAAGTTTATAGAAATATATTTTAAAATTTATTGCTGTCTTAAACTTATATTTTATAAAAATTACCTCAATAATCGGAAAATATGGCTTTAAAAGTTTGCGAAAGTTCCTGAAAGAGTTTTTGTTTTTAATGTTACTTAATATAGGAATTTATAGCACGTGTACCTGCTAAACTAATAAATGGGTTGTTGGACATTGTAACTACAAAAAAATGTTAAGCTTTATGGGTCAAAATCATGAAGAGAGAATTTTCTTGCCATGGCACAATCTTTTAAATACACATTGATCGATGTAATGGCCAGCACGATGCCCTGATATGACGTCATTATACTTTTTCCTATGGGGGTGTGTAAAAAGTTTTGTATACAAAACCAAACCCCCCGACTTAAGGCCGGTTTATCAATGTTCAGTTAAAGTTGCAGTTAGTTATCTGGTAGATAATTTCCATTGTTCTCACAATAATCGATATGGAATTTAACTGTCAGATAGACTAACTGGAACTTAACCAGAGATTGATAAACCGGCCCTTAGCTGAGTTAAGAAGATAAGCGCTGGCGATTAGATCGGTCATGCCTCAGATATCTGACATATATATGACATATGTTGAGTAATGTTAGAAGTAATTTCTATTTAAGATAAGGATGTTGCCAAGTTGTTCACGGCAAGCATTTTAAACGTCTCCTACATTGTCATTATTTTTTTTTTGTTTATTACATTATATAACAAATAAATAGTAGACAATTATCGGAAACTTTATAGTTATTGGACAATTAACATTAATACTGTAAAAACAAGAGTTCTATAAAGTCAAATCATTAGATGACGCTGTATACAATAATAACTATCCCAGTCGTTAATAATATAGATCTACTTTATTTTAAGTCCAATATAGGACAAAAAGTTCGCACGTTACTTTGGTGGTAAGATTTTTGTTTTTTTGTTAAGAGCAGGGCTGTGATTACATTATTATATATATATATATATATATATATATATTATATTATATTATTTATATATATATTATAAAACCTATTTCTATAAAGTGTACAGATCAGAGTGTGGTATAAATGTGTTCCTCATGGTCTAAACATTGTCACTTTAATGCGTTTTAATTTTATTTCTGAAAACAAACCGTAAAATGGCCAATGTCCAATTACTGGTTGGTAAAAAATGTAAATTTCTATTATTGTACATATATGTCCAATATCAAACTCTATTTAGTAGTAAACAACATGGCGGATAAGTCGGGTGGAAGTGAGGACGCTCTGTCTGAAACTGCTAAAAAGTTGTGTAAAGGATGCAAAACTGTTGCAAGATCAGGGCATACGTGCGTGAAATGTGGCATAGTTACTCATTTTGCGTGCTCAAAACGAGCTAAATACTGCTGTGGTCTATTACTGAATGCGGAAGAAGACGCTGAAGTTGAAGAGGTTTCTACTGAAAATTACAAGCTTCTGAAACTTCTGGTGAGTGAACTACGTCAGAACAATAAGTTATTACTCGAAAACAATAAGCTATTGTATGAGAAAATTGATTATTTAAAAATCAAATTATCCGAGAAAGAAAAATCTGAGGTTAGAGAGCCTAAAAAAACATACTCCAATGCAATAAATGCGGGAACAAAGACTTCGGAGCCTTGTGGTGGCAAGACTGGAACCAGTAAGTCATCTGTCAAAGAAAATGAAATTGAGGTTAGAAATAATGAAAACAAATCAACAAATAGTAACCAAAAAACTCAAGTACTACAATCTTACCAGCAACATAAAATGAACGAGATAATAAACTTGGCAAATGCGGAAGGAAATCAGCACAATTATAAAATTAAACAAAAGATAAAAATAGGCACCGCTGAAACTAGTCATGGAACATCTTTTACAGGTCGTCTAAACACGGATAAAAAAGCCTGGTTATTCATTTCTCGAGTCAAAGATTCTGTATCAGATGATGATATCAAGAAACATATTAGCAGCAAGACAAAATGTAACGAAAGTGATATAGTAGTGAAGTGTATAAATACGAAATATGAAAAAAAGGACAGTAAATGTTTCCAAGTAGGAGTCAACTTTGCACTGAAGGATCAATTATATGAAACAAATTTTTGGCCGGTAGGAGTAGCCTTTAGAAGATACCGAATCAATTTTTTAGACAACCAAACCAAACAGAGCCCACCAAAAGTCAATCAAGCAGAAGTAAGCCAATAAAAAACTCATCGTGCATATTACTGCAAAATGTGCAATCTATAGGGAACAAAATTGATATAATACAATCAATTTTAGATAATAATAAGCATTGTTTATGCCTGTGCATAACTGAACATTGGAAAAGTGATGATCAACTAAAAAATTATCCACTAGGAGGCTTTAAACTTACATCGAGTTTTTGTCGAGTCAAGGGGGCCCATGGAGGATCAGCTGTTTATGTATGTGATAGTGTAAGTGCTGCAAATCGGTCTGACATTGTTAAACTATCTATTGTAAATGTGTGTGAAATGTCAGCAGTAGAGTTCATGAGTAACAAATCCAAAATGTTTATAATGTGTGTGTACCGCCCACCAAGTGGTGATTTTCAACAATTTCTAAATATAATCGAAACCGCTCTGGAGCTAATAGCTCATGAAAATACGATTGTATTTCTCGCAGGTGATTTCAATATAGACTTTAGTACTAGGAATAAGTTCAAAAACGACTTTTTTTCAATTGTAAACTCATACAACCTGAACATTTCAACTCAGGACTATACAAGATCAACTGGCCAAACAAATTCATGCCTAGACAATATATTCACCAATATATCTTCATTTGAGGCTAAAGTAGAAGATTTTCATGTATCTGACCATAAATTAGTTAAAATTGTATTTGAGAATAAGAAATTTAATCTGTATAAGTGTGTTAGGGTTTTTTCAGACGAAAACAAAATCAAATTCAAAGATATGCTATCTAGAGAAACCTGGTATGAACTATTTAATTGTAATAGCTTAGATGTAAATGAACAGTGGAATATGTTTATGAGTACATTTTTGTCAATGTTCAAGGAATGTTTTCCACTAAAACGAGTAAAAATTGGGTCTAAGACCAATAAATACTACGCATACAATGCTGAGGTAGGCCGCATAAAAAGAGATTTGGATATTTTATATGTTTTAAGTAGTTGTGATGGTAATTATAAAAAATTGTATAACTTAAAGAAAAAAGAGTATAATTCTGCGTTAATAACATCTCGCAAAATGTATTATTCAAATCAAATATTGACTTCTGAAAATAAAAGCAGAACAGTTTGGAAAGTTATAGACAGTATTAAAGGTGGCAATAAAACATGTACTATAAACGTTAAGGGTAATCCTACTCAGGTAGCAAATGATTTCAACTATTTTTATGTAAACAATGTATGTGATATTGTAAAGAAAATACCTGATGTTAATTTTAAGCAAAATTTTTACAACAACAGATCCATGTTTTTAGAACCAGTAAGTCCTAACGAGGTATTTAATATTATAAATAGTTTAAAAAATAAGTCAAGTGCTGGCAATGATGATGTACCAGTTTCACTAGTTAAATACTGTAGCTTAGAACTTGTAAATCCATTGTCATACATTATAAATAATTCATTAACATCTGGATGCTTCCCTTCAAAACTGAAAGAAGCAATTGTAATTCCATTATATAAGAAAGGAGACAAAACAGTGCTAGCAAATTACAGACCCATAAGTTTATTACCAGCTTTTTCCAAGGTTTTCGAGATGACCATGAGTTCGCGTATCATACAGTTTTTTAATAAGTGTAACATTTTCAGTAACAGTCAACATGGATATAGAAAAGGAAGGTCCGTTGAAACCGCGTTGTATGACTACCTGCAGGATATTTATGACAGTTTTGAGAATAAAGACATCACTACCGGGATATTCCTAGATCTAACAAAGGCATTCGATTGTTTGGACTATGATATTCTATTTGAGAAGCTGGATGGATATGGTGTACGTGGTTGTCCAGCGCGGTGGATCAGATCTTACCTAACTGGTCGCATGCAGAGAGTTGTAATTCATCAAAACAGTACTAAATATGTATCTGATATACTAAATATTCAATTAGGTATACCTCAGGGTAGTGTACTCGGGCCATTATTATTCATAATTTATATTAATGACATGGGAATTGTTACAACTTCAAAGAATATAAATTTAATTAATTTTGCCGACGACTCGAACTTCGTGGTCAGATCCAAAAACTTGGTGCAAGCAACAGCAACTATCGCGAACTTGTATGATGAAATCTTACTCTATATGGGTTCCAATAAGCTAGTACTAAACGAAAATAAAACAAATTTTGTCCTCTTCAAGACAATGAGATCAAATGTCTATACACCACCACATATTGTATTGAATAATAAAGAAATTGAGTATTCGTCAAGTGTCAAATTGCTTGGTATTTGGATTGACGAATATTTAAATTGGGATATGCATATCGAAAACTTAGTGTCAAGATTAAATGGAGTATGTTATGCAATGCGAATACTTAAAAATTATGTCAATGTGGATACTATGAAAACGGTATATTTTGCAAACTTCCAAAGTCTCTTAAGATATGGTTTGATATTCTGGGGCCAAGGACGTAACACAGTATCTGTTTTCAGGGTTCAAAAAAGATTGATACGCATCATATGCAACTTAAAATCATCAGAATCTTGCAGAACACACTTCAAAAGCAACCATGTCCTGACACTGGTTGGTTTATATATATATGAATTAGTTTTGTTTTTGGTAAAAAATTATAACAAATTTGAATCACTTCAAACTGTTTCACATAGAAACTCAAACTTAAATTTTCGTAGGCATAAATTAACAAAGTTCAAAAATGAACTTTTCAACTATATTTGTACCAAAGAGCCCTATACGTTAGCAGAGTTTTAAGTAACTATATTGTATTATTATTCTTACACTTGTGGTATATTCCATTTTATTATTTATGTTTGACTTTTTCTACATACTGTTGTTATACATATATATATATATTGTTATCTTTGTATGTACAACACTATATTAGAATAAATAAATTATTATTATTATTATTATTATTATTTGTATCCCGGACATTTACCAGCCAATTCTTATGTAAAATTGTCCCCTGAATCCGAAAAGACCGTCAAAAACTATAAAATTTAAGCAGTTTTTGAGCTATAGTCAATTCCATATTATATGTGAATTTGATTAAATTTCAAAAACTGTTCTATTTTTATAACTTTTTACATTTTCGGATTCAGCGAATAATATTTCATAGGAAATGACTGCTGAATGTCCTGGATACAAAATGCTGTTGTCGAGAATTATTAGTAGCTGCCTTTTCGCTATGACATTTTTGACTAATTCATTTTTAGAGAGTAAGTAATATAGTGGTTTCTTCGTCACAGGACATCTTGCAGAATAACAGTGATTTAAATACAGTGCATGATAGAGAACATAAAAAACTAATGGCAACAAAAGTAATAAATTTGAAAAATACTTTTAACATACCACCCAAAAAAATATTAGATATATTTAAATCATCCTGTTCCGGCCTATACCTTATACAAAAACAAAATAAAAAAAATTACCTAAAACAACAATTAATCTTTAAAAAGTATTTAACAATTTATGTTATTTGACGTAAAGTTGTTATGTTTATATAAAAATTGAATGGTTCATGTGTCCAATTGCTATATAAAATGTCCAATTACTATACTTTTTTGCATGTTTTTATAAAACTATTATTAAAAATTCAAATATTGTGTCCAATAACTATGTGGATTACCAATAATACTTATTAGTTTTTCAGTGTGTTTCAACAGGTTGTAGCAAATTTCTGTAATGAAATATATATCGTTCTTTAATGTCCCTGTGTTATTTATTTAAAAGTTTAAAAAATAACTAACACTGCTTACTGAAATTTACGAAATCCTGCATTCTGGAGCTCAACAAAGGCATGGAATTTATCATCCTACATAAATTATAAATAAAATACCTTAATCCGCCACATAAACCGCTGGCTATTTACGTTATCCTTTAGATTTTAGCATTTAGCTTGTTCAATAAATATTTTGAAGCATGACATAATTGCGTAATGCAAGAGCCATTTAATTTACTGTAGGTACAATATGAACGCTTGGTACAGAAATTAAGGTAAGTTATTAAATTGGGCAACAATTTTGAAATCGATTTCGGCTTACCGCAAATTCGTGCAAGGGAATTTGGCATATGCCATAGTGTACTCTCAATGAAGCAGGTATAACTGGCAGATCCGGATCTAGCGATTTAGAAACTGGAGAATGGATAGAAACAAGAATCCAAGATGTTATATAAATGGGTCTTTTTCAAAAAACACCCGCCTTACGCTGTCCGTAAGTTTGAATTCCAATAACTTTGTTAAAAATTATCGCATCTTATTGATTTAACAACCAAGTGAAAGCCTAACAAGCCCTTAGTAAACTCTTTCAGAAAATGTTTGTTAAGTTATTTCAGAATATATTTTTTTTAATTTTGAAACTTGTGAAACACACATTTTCGCATGTCCCATTAGCGTTTTGTAAAACTTACATACATGTTTTTTTTAAATATTGAATAACCAGAACTTTGTGTTGCTTTATATCAATCCATAACATCCTTAGTTAATACAGTAAACAATTTATATTTAAAATAATTAATTTTAATCAACTTTTTTTAAATTTGACTCAGACATTTTTTCCGGTGCGTTACGTCCGTCGCGTTACGTCCGTCGCGTTACCGATAGAATATTTAAAAAACATATATATGGCAACTTTTTTGGCACTCACGTGATCCACAAATGATGTTCGGACGTACACATTACCCAGCTGAATTTATTTATTTAATCAGGAAGAAGATATCGGTTGAAACAGGTGCAGGTAACGCGAATGTAATAATTGTTTGTCCGCTAAGTTACTCAAAAAAATAATAAAAATAAGGTAAGAAAAAATACTATTTTTCATGATTATGTTTATTTTAGGGCGCCAAAGCTCATTGAGAGTAATTAATGACTGTAATGTCTTATTATTATTTTTTAAATATGGTTTCACAAAACTTTTTCCACTGCGTTACCGAGACCATTATGTTACCTTATGGTAACGCAATGGAATTTAGGCTAACGCAATAGAATTTTTCGACAACAAAGTGGATATTTACCGTCGCTTTTATTAAAAGTGGTTTATGATAACCTAA